TGTGTGTGTGTGTCAGACCTCCTGCTGACCAAAGGGTCAGAAAAGAAGCAGATCTTCCAGATAGGATGTATCTGCAATAAAACCTCCCCCAGCACAGAGTGGTTGGAGAGGTGGTCAGGATCAAAGGAATGGCTTTGATCCTACTGCTTGAACTAAGACTGTACAAATTTAAGAAACACAATGGCAACATTCAACAATTAGACTTAACAGTTTCGAAACCACAAATGTTCTGTTGATGACTTTTGACACATTTAAAAGGACATCTTCTCCGTCTCGAGGCCAGGTGCTTCCTATTAATCTTCTAACTCTCGCTAATCTCCTGGAACAAACTGTCCCTTAGGCAGACACAATTTTGCAGTCACAAGCTTTTGCAAACTATTATTTGAACTCTTACCTAAACATGAGTCTAACTACTGTTCGTGTGTATGTATGTCTCGACCTCAAAATGCACTCGGCCTCACCCCGCCCGTCGACGCTTCTGACCTTTTACCAGACAGAAGCTATCTGTGATAGGTGTAATAATCTTAACTAAGAACATGTGTAATCTATTGAATAAATGCTTTAATGAAATGATAATTAATGTAATGGTAATGATGAAATTATCAGTAAAATATTTCCCTGATCTCCACAGCGGTACCTGTGAATCAGCAGCAGCAGCTAGAAGAGGTGGACAGGTTCGTGTACCTGGGTTCCACTCTCAGCAGTGATGAGAGCATGGTCAAGTGCCAAAAAAATTATTAGGTTGATTTTTGGATTATATTTTACCATGAAATAAACGCCATATATTTTCAAAGAATCAAGTCAGAAGTGCATTCTGAAACAAACCACCTGTTGCCACCCACGGCCTTTTCTTAGACTATTTTTCTGTTCTGGAACTTAAAAGGCCATGACACTGGCTGTTGATTCATCCTTTGACTTAAAGACACAAGCCAGGATGAGGACCCCCAAAAATCCATGTATATGCATTTGCATGGATATACCCCCAAAACACAAACACACCGTCCTTTTAGATTAATCATTTTGAGAATGACTTTCTGTACTGAGTTGGCCATGACAAGCTCAAAAGCTTACTGTCTGTCACACAAGTCACTATTACCACTATTATTTTGCTATTTTTCGATGTGATTCTCTTGCTTGGAAGGATATAAATAGCAGTGTTAAAGGTTGGAAATGTGTGTTCAAGAAATATATATGGATTAAATATTGTTGTCTCACTATACTTCATGTTATAGCTGCTTGGCAATACCTAAAAATGCCACTAGGTGACACATAGAGCTCAGGAAGAGCATAAAGCCTCTGCAAGTGCTGCAGAATAAATCCTACAGCCAAAACATGATCTCCTATTTTAATATAATACATAGTTGCAGGAATTCTGTTTAAACCCCTCACTGACACCCACCAGGTCAGGTGGCAACAGCAGCTTAATTGTTTGGTTTATAATCACAATCATTAGATTCGGAGATGAGTTACAGAGCCTGCCAACTTTTTACTTTGGCTGCTCATTTTGTAGAAGTCTGACAGGTGACTATATCATATGTAGCTGCAGAGTGTAATGTTGTTAGGAGTCACTTGCAGAAAACAATGTTCCTGTCAAAAGTCATAATATGACTTGCATTATTGCATTTTACACATGAGATGATTTGATTGGGGTGTGCGTGTGTGCATGATTTTTGGGGTGAAATATATGTTTCAAGTAAAGTCAACTTTTTTGTAAGCACATTTAAAAACAACACAGGTTGACCAAAGTAGAGATGGCACGATACCACTTTTTTATGTCCGATACCGATACCGATATCATAAATTTGGATATCTGCCGATACCGATATGAATCCGATATAGTGT